TCCCCTCTTCCCCTCTTCCCCTCTTCCTTCAATGGAACTTTGAAAGGAGACAAAGCAGAGAGGAGGCCGAGGTTGACCTCTGCTCCCTTCCACACAGACAAAGAAGAAGTTCTATGACACGGAACTGGAAAACCTGGAACGGCAGCAGAAGCAGCAGATCGAGAAGATGGAACAAGATCATGCGCTGCACCGGCGGGAGGAGGCCAAGCGCATTCGCCTGGAGCAGGAGCGGGACCATGTCAAATTCCTGGAGCAGCTGAAGCAGATGAAGAAAGAGGTAAAAATGGGAATAGGATGGAGGAAAGCTGGATTCCTGCATCTGTTTCTTCCAGGAAAGCTTCAGCGTTTTGCTGTCACTGAGAGGAAAGCAGTTGGTATTTTAGCAGGAAGCTCTTGCTCTTCTTTGGTATATTTGGGTGTTTCCTGAGCTCCAGCTGTTTAGTGACATTAAATCGGGTTGTTCTTGGCCTAAAGTTACCCGCTGATGAATCTCATTTCCCTCCCCAAAGGTCAAGAATGAGGTTGAAAAGCTGCCACGGCAACAGCGCAAAGGGAACATGAAGGTGAAGATGGATGACTTTGCCCAGAAAAAACAAACCATGGTAAGGCTGAGAGAAGTCTGCCACAACTCCAAGATTGGGAAGTGCGTAGTAGGCAGGAGCATCCTTCTTCCTTGAGGGACTGGCAGTTTCTTAAACACCACCAGATTGCTTTTCAAGTTGCAGCAGGAGGAGGGCTCTTGGTGGTACTGCTGTTGTCTTCCAGGAACAGGAGTTTTTTGCCAAGCAGAAGGAAGACCTGGAGCTAGCCATGAAGAATATAACCATCCAGAACAAGAAAGAGATCTGCGACAAGGAACGCGAGTGCCTGAACAAAAAGCAGCAGCTCATGAGAGGTGGGTGGCAAAGGCTGCAAAGGAGGAAAGCAAATCCTGTAACGACGGGTTTATCCAACGCTGGCTCTTCCCACGCAACAGATGCTGTGGCAGAGTTGCAAGCTGGCAGGATAGGATTTAGAAAAAACAGCCTTGCCAGATCCTGTCTAAATGTTTAGCAATAATAATACTTAGCACTTTAATCTTCAAAGTGCTTTACAAATATGAACCAATTAGGGTTCATAACTGCAAAAAACGATTCTCTGATAGGGTTTGCAACCAGTTTCTTTCGGAAAACAGGAGGTGAACATTCACCCTCCACACCTGCTGCGCTGCGCCTGCGTGTAGG